CAGCGCCTGGGCTCGGGTGAGCGCCCAGGCGGCGCCTGTTTGAAGCGCGCCGCCTGGGACATTAGCGAGGCGCTCGGGCCTCGCCTCGCCTCGCCCGAGCGCCTAGGCGAGCGCCCGAGCGCCTTTTGCAATCACTGCTTACAAGCTTAAAATGATGTCAGTTAATGTTGCCAGGATCAAACACAAATATTCTTATCATCAATTTCTCAGTAACCAAAAGTTCTTTTTCCTAACAGTAATAGAGCTCCCTTTTTTCCTTTATCTTCTCCATGATGACAGAAAAAAAATAATAATAAAGAATCACATGATGTATAAGAAAGGATTATATATGAATTGACACCAAAAATGCAGAGAACTAAGTAATGGCAATCATACCTATCTACGGGTTTCAGGTTGTAACATAAATAAGAATATTCCTCCAGCAACTGAAACATTAAGGGACTCGAACCCACCAGCCATAGGAATGCTTACTAGCTTGCAGGCCTGCACAGTTTGCTTTGACAATCCATGTCCCTCACTACCTAATACCAAGCAAAGAGGCTCACCTGCCAATGACTCTGCAAGTTCATGAGACAATGAACGAGTCGTATTGGATCCATCAGCGCTACTCCCTGGATGACCTGCCAACATCTTCATCTTATTCTTAGTCTTTAAGGTCATTAGATGAGACCACGTACCAGAAACCACAGGGAGCTGAAAGGAAGCTCCACGAGATGCTCGAAGTGCCTTCTCATTTAAAGGATCACAGCAGTTAGGAAGCAGAAAGGCACCATCCTGTGTATAAGACAAGCCAATTGTTTCAAGAAAGTTGTAATTTCCCTCTCATAATATTCTCAAACTTGTGTCACCACAGAATTTTTTTTTTCTAAGTTAGTGACATATAATAATAGAAATACAATTAGCTTCAAGGAATGATAAGCCCTACCCATTTGAAAGCCATAGCTGATCTTATCAGAGTGCCAAGGTTACCAGGGTCCTGCAACACAAATGGAAAGAAATATTTAATTTGGTTGAAGCATCATGACCTGAGACAACAGAGATATTGAAGACGATACTTTGCAGACTCCAAAGTTGAACAGATGAACACTCATTTCTAGATACCACAGAGTTGACCATACTCAGCTATAGAGCATCTCTATGAGTGTTGTTACCCAAAAGAATAAAAAGAAGGTTGCAAGCTATCACATGGAAGATTTAGAATGAATATTTTATCTATATGTCAAACAGGTAGAAGAGGGAAAAATTATATTTCTCATATCCGTGGGTCCACCCACTCTCTGAAGGATGCTTATTATTATACAACAAACCTCATACAATGAAATCTTTGCAGATGCAATCAAAAGATTGGTAAAGGAGATCTATTGTTGCATTGTTACCAGAAATTTAAGAGTAAACCTGGCATAAAGCATGTAAATGAAAATAAGTTACATCAGAGGTTCTTTCTGTACATTCAGTGAAAATGTGACTAACAAGAATGAAAAAATCAGATGTCAATCGAAAAACAGCCAAACACTGTGGTATATGATACATGAGCAAATCTAACTTCCCTTTCCGTGTTAAAATGGCATACAGTTCTGGTTAGGTTCTCCAGGTGGTATAATAGAGATCATCTCCATAACTCAAAATATGATGAGGAATTGCCAACAAACAAGGGTGTTCCAATCCTACAGCTACTCGGATACTATATCCAAAAAGACACATTGAAACTATAGTAACGTGCTGCACCTGTATAATGCACAACAGTCCCCTTTAATCTTTGCAATAGGTTGTGATTACTTCTAAAGCCCTACAAACAGTTTAGAGAATTTGAACATTGTGAAATCTTGAGATCGATTGAATTTCCTGGCGTGTTTTGTCTTCCACATACATCTTCCAAGTAGCAACTGAAACTAGGCCATATAACTGGAAAGTCTAAAAGCAAACAACTTATGACAGTTAATATATGCAAACCAGCGCTAAATCTTTGTGAAGAACATAAAAGCGAACAAATTGTGATGGAAAGGTCAGGAAAACTGCAGCGATTGTAAACACTGCATAAACAAGATTGGAATCTCTAATTTTCAAACAGATGTAATAGTTATTCGGTAAAAGTATAGTTCATGGGTGAGTGATATAAGAGCAATCTCATGCATAGATCTTATATTAATGCTGGAGGTCAACCAACAGTTGAATGTTTCATCCTAGGAATCTACATCAATGCTGCCAGAAACTGCATACATACAAAGCCATGTAACATTTTTCATTGCACTACTGTAGTCCTGGTGATAATTCATTAGTAATGCCATTTCACTGTAACAAGCCAAGTTTACTATGAGAATTTAACAATTATAAAATCAAATCGAGCTAATTGGACATAAATAACTACCCGAAGTTTTTTTCTTTTTTTTTTATGTTCACTTTTTTCCTGGGAAGGAATGTTCCTTGGGACATCTAAAAGATCTTTCTTTTACCATATTATTAGTAAAATTAGTCAGAAATCTGATTAAAACCTCAAAGATCTTTCTTTTCATGTTTAAAGCAAAGCTACTACATTGATCAATCAGATTGCAAGACAATCAGATCATACGTAGTTTCCCCGAGGATGATTAAAATTGATGCATAGAGAAGCAAATTTACTCAAGAGTGACAATGGATAGACTTAACTGAACTGCACTTGTGATAGCTGTTGGTGCGAGACAATTTTCTTTATAACTGCCTTAGCAGAGGGATCAATTAAGACACCAGTAATCTTGATTTCTATGTAGCAAATTTGAGAAACAAGTAATGGAACAAAAGCAGACAAACAGGATCAATTAAGACACCAATAATCTTGATTTCTATGTAGCAAAATTGAGGAACAAGTAATGGAACACAAGCAGACCCCAGGATCAAACAGGAAAAATTGGTACCTGGATCCCGTCAAGCACCAATAGCCGGTGAGATGAAGGGAACCAACGTTGACAAATTTCATCATTCTCTTCAAGGTTTAAGAAAGTTCCAGGGAGCCTCATAAGGGCAATAGCTTCAATGGAATCAATTGACTGCATACCAGAGACTTTCTTCATCACAATAGGGCTCACATGCACGACAGGAGCAGAGAAATGATGGAATCCTCCAAGGGTGTCTGCGCCATCTAGCAAAAGCAAGCAATCCACCATAGAATCATCATTCCCTTTCAATTGCTGAAACCTGCATATCTCCCTGCAAATTTTTGTGCCAAAAAATAAACATATTTTTAGCAAAGATGTTATAGAATGCACCAATTTCATATATACAGAATGTTATGTAGTTCTAGGTTATTCCACGAACCAGAACTTCTAAGAAATCCCATAACAAAAGGGCACGCGTTAGAAAAGATGCAGCTTCTTCTGCTCTTTTCTACAACAATGCTTCTCAAAGATTCAAACTTTAACACACATTAAGATATGAACGACTGGATTAATCACCCAGGAGACTGACAAGATGGGGGTAAGGCCCACAACAAGGGCGGAGCCGCAGGACCGACGGTAGACGGAGCTGAGCCGGAGCTTGACGCAGTGCTTGACGAATGGGTTGGACGCGCTCGTTATCCTCGCAGGCCACCGCAGGAACGGAGGAGAAAGAGACGAAGACCACGATGAGACTTGATCGCCGCCATCGATCTCAGGTACTCCTCTTGCCCCACCTCCTCGTCCGCTGCCGGCAGAGGAAGGAACAGCCGACGCGCCGGAGTGGACACGAAGCCGCGAGCCGGCCGGCATCACCATCACAGCCACCATCTTCTCTTCTTCTTCTTCTTCTTCTTCTTCTTCTTCTACTACGGTGAGAAAACACGATACAAGTAACGAGCAGTACAAAATTTGGGTTGGGCCATATAAGCGCCATATTTTGAGGGACCTTGTTCCCATATCCACTTCTCTATCCATCATCAAGTCACATATCACTTGGTCATCAGTTTAATTAGAGGGTCAACTGATTGAACTACAAGTTTAATTATTTTTTGAAATATATAGGTTATGCAAAATATATATTATATAAATATTTTTTATGACATGAAAGAAGATGATAACGATGAAATAGACATGAGAGATTAACGAGTGTCCTGAAAGACACCCAAATGCTCTTGGAAAATTTTCATATATCTTTGATAATATGACATTAAGGATATTTTGATCATTGCTAGGTAAAATAGTATATAAAAACATGGTACGCAATCCACGCTCTTGCTATGTAAAGATGCTAACATATGCAATTAGGTGAGCATGCGAGAAAAGAGAATAAGACGATGCTTTCATTAATAATGTACACGATTATTCTACCAGAGGCTATTGTTCTTTTTGGTTTATGTCCTGCAAAAGCAAGGGAAGCAAATGCTCCATAGCACTGACAGTGTGCAGAGGAGGAATAATATGGTCATGATTTATGGGGGTGTAGAGTGAGTTCCCTTCCCACGAGAGAAAATTGCTGCAGTCCAAATGAACAGCAAGTGTAGAATCATGTTTGTTTATATGATAATGATGGCGGCAACAGTTTCAGGAGGCTCACTTAGCAACATTATTGGAAGCATCAACAGATTCCTACTTGCAGAAGGTGGTGAAGGTGAATAGAAAGCTATTATTGTAGATCAAGAGATGGTCAAACATTTAGAAGTCAGACCAGAAGATAAGCATATAAATGGGGATCCAAAAATCCAATTCACAACCAGCCGTTAATCCAACGCAAGCAAGAACTGCATTCAAGAAACTTACAGGGTTTATAACATCGATCCAATCTTTAGACAGCGACTCCACAAATTCTCCTCCTATGAGATTCCGGACCTTCGGCTGCAAATTACTCATCAAGTCAATCCTTGAATTCAGAAAAGACGAGATGTGTCGCCGATAGAATCAAAGGCATTGATTAGAACAAGGATGGAATTACCCGATGAGCAGTGGAGCAACGGACCCCGAGGACGGGGGCAGGAGACCGCCGTGGCGCAGAGGAAGGAGAGGACAGAATGCGTCAGATAGAAGGGCGGGGAGGAGAGAGATCGGTGATCAATGGAGTATGGAATTAGGGTTTCGGGGAGAGGGGAAGAGAAGAGGATCGGGGGGTTATTACCACCCGCGAAGAGGAGCGCAACATACTCGACGAGAGCCGACGACGAAGAGTGCCGAGTGGAGGCGCCATTTATCTACATAAAGCGTCAGCTACCTGTTTAAGCGCACGCGACAACCTACCTACCTACCTACCTTAATGATGTCATCTCCACGGGGACCCGACGACCTACCATAAGCATTCACGAGGCTTCTGGCTAAACGAACGGCTAATTATATATTAACGTTTGTAGTTTTAATATTTCGATCTATAGATTTAAAAAAATTATATTAGAATCTCTATAATTATAAAAATAAAATATATTATCCTAATATTATCAATTTTATCGATAAAAATATAAAAACGATGAGCAAAAATATAATTTTAATATACTAATTATATTTTTGATGATGATGAATAACGATGTTATTAGGGGTCGTGAGTGGCTATTGTGGATAAGAAGAAAGAGCGGTGATAAGAGGTGAGGTGACGACGCAGATGTCAATATCACTTGCAATTGCTTGGGGCCAATGCAGATGCAGATAATGCGAAAGGGTCACTCAACATGTGCATCGACGCTACGAAGATGTAGTGCAATGTCAACGTAGATGTAAAGTGACACTAACACATATGCATATATAAAGTGACATCACTCAGTATATATATCAGCACCAATATAAATGCAGAGTGACAAAAGGGTCATTCAATATTTACATCGACGTTAACGTAGATATAGAGTAGCATTGTCATTCCCTGCATTATTGTTGACTCTGATACAGATACAGATCATCGGGATTTATGTCATCGTCGACCTCCATAAAAAAATATTTTTATGCTTTCGTCGATAAAACCAATGATACTAGGATACATAGAGCTAAGTGTTTCACTTTGGATTCAAATATAAATTTTTGAAGTGTAAAGATCGGGATGTTAAAGAAGTTTAACTATAAAGAATAATATATAATTAGCCCCTTAGCAAGCGACAACCATCAAACTATGTGTTATTGTTTCTTTACACATATTGATCTTTCAAGGGCGCACTAAGACAGTTAGGCGATGGGATTTTCAACTTCTAAGGCATTCGTGTCCAAAGTTATACTTTGGACATCTACATCGTAAATATATTTAAATTCACAAAGACATTAATCTGTCAAAAAAAAAAAAACAAAGTTTCTTAGTCAAGAGTAATTATCTATCATCGACAATTTAGTCGAATAAACATTTGAATAGACTTATCAAAGTAAATAATTTGAATCAATAATTTAAGCTTTACAATCAATACTATAGACTTTACAATAACAACATGGTTTTAAAAAATAATAAAAACAATCAATAAAAAAAATAAGACAACATGGTTCTGTTCATTCTCAAGTGGCAGATTACTCCCTCAACTCAAAATCATATACAGCTTCAGATACTTGATCTGGCTACTCACTGCATCGGAAGACAATAGGACTCGTTGTCATAGGTATACTCGTATGCGAGATCTTGAGCTCGACGCTTAAATTCTTGCATGTTCTCCTTTGGCACTTGGATGCCTACTAAGACATTTGCACCAGTCTCACCCTATCAAAAATCAGACAATAAGGATACACAATTAAGTCACCGTATTTGATGAGCTTCTTATGGAACTCCAAGAAACCTCCATCACTGGAGGTGAAACTGTTTAATCATCTTTCGTCACATCTTCTGTTCGTTTTGTGAGTTTAGCAGAATGAATCTTGTACAGGTTATTGTTCACTTTTTGCCTCAAAAAAATAAAAAGAACATGCCATTGCATTCTTCCATATATAAGGTTTTCATTGTGGTGTATCCAAGGTACTGGTAACAAATAAGTAATAATCTCACGATCAGCATAAAGTAGAAGAGGATAAGTACCAAACCTGTGCTCGATAATGGAACAAGCTGATTTTCCATCGTGGACTAAATGAGTCCAAGAATTTAACAAGAGCACCTGGCCTCTATAGGAAGATAAATCGGCAAAGTAGTTCATCTTGCACATTTGACCAGCCTCCTATCTGAATAGGTAAGGAAGACGAGTTTAAGAGTTTATACCATTACACAGTACGAAGCTTTCATAAAACCATACATGTACCATCTCTGTTATCTATATGCAAAATGAATATTACTGTGGAACTGTCAAAAATGTGTTGGTCTTTTTGAAGTTCAAACACTAATTGACAAGTCTAAACAGGGATAAGCCCAAACCTACCAATATGGTATAAGATAAACCCATTTCAAACTCAACAAATGTAAATTTTGGATAGAGGTGGCTACAATATAAGACTACACCACTTACAGCAAACAATTGTCAATATCAGTAACTTGATGAATTGCCCTTTTGGAAAGCAGGCATTCAAACAGTATACAGCCATTTAAATATCACATGATACCTTTGTGCAATGCCAAGTGCATCGAGTAACTGAAGAAGGAAAAGAATAAAAAATAAATGAAAACAATGAGATGCTTTTGCCATCACGGTTTGTTGGGGTAGGGAAGAAAATATTTTCCAAGATCCAAGTAAAGGACAGATCCAATCACTGAAGAGTTTCTCTTGAAAATCAAATATTTTACAGTGACATCTATAATCATTTATTAAGTTTCACTGTTATGGAACTTATTCTATACAAGTGATATCTCTCCAGGTTTACTGTCTGTCACCTTCCCCTCTGTGCCTCCTCTTTTGTTTTTTTGTATTACATAATTCAGGCACTTTATGAAATAAGTTTGACAGTCTCTCTGTCTTTTGGCTCAGAATAGAAAAACAAAAGAAAACCCCACATTCATTTATTTATTCTTTTTGGAATCATGTAACATCAGCTTTAGCTAATAGGATAGCAAATGCCAAGTATATTAAGTTATTAAAAGCCAAGTAACTTACAAAATACCTCAGATGATCCTTTGCCAAGTCATAATTAGTAAGATTGATAGTTTGAAATTGTGCAGATTTCATTCGGTTCACCATGGCTCCTAGTTCAGTGTCAGTATGAAGTCCCACACTGCAATATCAAAAGACCAATTGGCTTTAACAAGAGAGCAAAACTTTTTACCACCACATAAAGTGCAAGACTGCATTTAGAATAAGATATTGAAGGAATGAAAGAACATCTTACTTGCCTGTAAAGAACAAGAGCATCTTCTCTACATGAATCATATCTGTATTTGACCTCTGTAATATTCATAGAGCCTACCTGCAAGGCTCTCCTGTGTCTAGAATTTAGAAGTCAAACACTAAAAATAAAGTAGATTAAAGTAATGTTTGCAGATTACCAGTTTACAGAATGTCTTAAAAACTCCCATGCTCCTCTGGTAGAATAGTTGCAAGCATAGCCTCACGTTTCCGACCAACATCAGCAAGTCCAGTTACCAACCTCAGCCTATCAAAGTTCATGTTTGCTCCACTGGTTATTGCAACAACATTTGTACCTTTCAAACCATAGTATTTGCAGTATGCTTCTGCACCAGCTAGAGAGAGTGCACCAGCTGGTTCTAGAATGCTCCTTTTCTCCGCAAACATATCCTGTATTTGAATGTAAAACTTTTGAGTGATCCAACATCAACTATTTTGAAATTATACATTAGTTGCAAGACAGCCAAAAATTAACAAGTGGGCAAAAGCTAATGTTCACAATGTTAGAAATAATGAAACAACATGAAACACAATGTTAGTTGCAAGACATGTTTGAATGGTGTCTTTATTAACGGTCAAAACTTGTTAAGTGTCAACCCTCCTAACAGCCAGAGACTCGAGAATCAGAAACAGGATTTAAGTATATTCACTGACAATATACAATTGTAAACAAGACACACCTTAATAGATGCACAAATAGCATCACGACTGAC